GAGGTATTTACAGAATAACAAAAACCTTTCACCTTTTGGCCCTTCTATGAAAAATTTACTGAATGCCTAATATATTTAATATTCAGTAGCATGTGAGAATAATTTTTATGCAACTCTGATAGTTAGAAAGATAGATAACTCAATTATTAGATCATCTATCAAAATATTCAGATGTATAAGAGGCTACTAAAAAGATTGATGACTGAGAAAGTCCACTGATTCTCTAGCCATCATATTCACGCATTTGGCCAGACAACATTTTTCGCTGCCTTCACAAGCAAGCTTCATTACCCATGACTCCACTGAAAAGAGTTTATTATGAGGCTGCCATCTTGGCAAGACTATTATTTAGATGATAAATGCTGAGGGGGAAAAAGTATGTCTACTTTTTCTTTTTTTTAAGCTAAAAGATGAGCTTTGCTGACAGATAAAACAAACAGCATCTACATTTCTAATTAACGTAAATTTGGCAGATACAAATATAGGTCAGTTAAAGCTATGATGTTATCTTCTGTCTGAATTTTACCCTTAATTTGTAAAATGTAAATTAACTAATTAGAGAAAAACAGCATGATTAGTGACAAAACGCTTCAGCTGGGTCTTTGCTTCCTGACATTTATGATCAACTATAATGAATTATTGCTTTTAAAAATAATTGATAGAATTTTTTTCTCACTACAATGAAAGAAATTTTACTAAATTTATAAAAGAAAGCCATGAACCCGGCAAAACAAAAGAACTTTGTGGAATACTTTCTGAGGAGGAGAGAGAGATAAAATGCCATGATATCAGAAACAGTTGGGTTAATTTTTGCTTGTGTACCTACGGGTAGATTTGGAGGAAAGATACTGTCACTTAAAAATCCAGCTAAAAGATTGTGTCATATGTTAGAAAAACATGCTGTAAACTAGACTGTAGTAAAATTTATGTGGATCTGCTGTAAACTCAAACAATCAGGGATACAGCTAGGTGTGGGGAGACACTATTAGAGAATGGTTGGAAAAAAGATTTGGCCACTTCAGTTTCAGCAGGAAAACCTGTCATTGTTGTGTGAAATTAACCCATGTAACAGTTAAGTGAAAAGAGATTTTCAACTATTCCTCTGTAAAGATTCTACAATAAGTACACCTACAATGTCAGATATAAATGTCAATTAAAAAATACATAAAATCCGAAAAGGTAATGTGTGCAGGGTGGTCACGTTTTGGCACAGTGGAGTGTGTGTCACCAGGAACAGGGCAGGCAGAACAGAATGAGAACTGTCAATTCTCAAAGCTCATGAACTAGAGGTCTGATCTGAATGGGGACTACTAGGGAAACTGGAGCTACAGTCTTGCTATAAGGTAGGAATAAACTGAACAGGAACTGCAGGTTGTGGGCACTGGATTTCTGGGACATGACAACATTTGAAATGATGGAGAAAATAGAAGGAAAAATGATTCAAATAAAATCAAAGATGTTCAAGGTGCTACTGCAAAGTTCAGTGATTATGCAAAACAGGTGAGTAGTTAAAACAATTAAGTACTTCAAAAAAGCAGTCCTAATTTTAGCTATGCCACTAAAATACTTAAAACCTGCACAGAAATATCTTTATTTCCTTTAGCACTTACCACATTTGGAGGCAATCTGACTGAAATACTTGAATACTCTTTTTTTTCCAGTGTTATGACAAATAAAACTTTCCACACTTTGCAAAGTACAATCTAAATGCTTGGAAAATATAATTGCATTTATTTTATATTGAGTAGCCTGAAGATGGCAAGAATATTTCTCTGTATAGCTGCTGCAGATTAAAAATTTTTATAAAAGTATTCTGCTTATATTTTAGTTTAGAAAATCATTAATAGTAAATATTTTTACTTTCTGTCCTCATACTACTGTGATATTGAATAAGAAATAATATGGGTAACCAATAAAAGCTTTACTTCCCAGAATAGAAATCTAACAGCAAACATCATATTTATACATGACAGAAAAGTCTCTTGACAGAACTCTGGCCTCCATCTTAGTCTTCAGCCTCTTATACATGACATAACTACAAAGCAATTACTTCACAAGTTACATAAGATTTACTTCTATGTGCATTAATCTTGCACATTACAGGCAATCCTCAAACATCTGAACTCCAATAAATTGGTTTCTATCACAAAGATAAAGACTATAAAACATATTATAGCATACAGACCTTGTTTAGTCTTTTCTTGCTAGCTACTAACAATCCCGATTCACATTTGTCATTTTGAAAAACTAATTTAATTTTTTAATTAAAAGCATTAATAGTTCTAAGATAGGTTTTCATTTTGATGATAATGAGGAAAAGGAAGGCTAGAGAAGGTTAAAAAGTAATCATCTAAATCCATTTAAATGCTTTACTCTTTCTGCATGGCAGACAGCATTTCATGTTTGAAGGATGCGTTATCTGTGAAGGAGGAGAAAGGTACAGATATGCACTAAGTGTCAGGTATTCTGACCAAACCTGAGTCCCTTGGTGTTGCAGGAAGGTCAGACCCTTTCAGTATTGTACTGTTATGTCAAAATACGTCAACAAAGCATCACACCACAGGAAGAAGAATGACCTTTCAGTCCTTTGTGTTTGGGCTGCCGATGGAGCTTTGGACTGTGGGGTATGCATGAACGGTTTTCCTAGCTGCTTGACAAATGCAACTCCCAAGGTTTCTTTTAAGTGTGATGGTTAGAAACAATCCTTTTAACAACCTTACACTTTGGTATGACTTTCTAAATACACATAACTCATGGAGGGAAGTGAGGTGAGGTGAGCTACCACAAACAGTGAGCTTCAGTGCAACTGAACTAAAATTGCTATAAATGTTCAAATGCAAGAGATGCAGGTTGGAAGTCAGTAAATTTAGAAATAATTTTACTTGCTGTAAGAGTAATAAATTTTATTAATCAGTTCTCCAAACTTTATTGTGGATGTCAAGTTATGGTTGTCTCCATCACTTGTAATTCTATCCTATAGCCCAGGATGCCTTTCAAGATCTCTAAACACCTCCACTGAAGTTACACTAACCTATACTTCAATAACACTATTATTTTCCCCACCACTAAAACCTCAAAGTTCTTTAGAGGCGAGATTAGTTTTTGTTTATCTTTGTATTCTCTGAAATGCATTCAGTACTGTCTCTATATAAAAGGAATTTAGTAACATTACTGAATTTGATCATATATCTGTGCTACTACTGGTAGACCAGTTTGCCAGAATTTGTTACATTGGGAATTTTTGGTGGTGAAATATTCACTTCTCCTTAAAACAATGAAAAGCAACTGTGTCTGGTCAAATACTGCAGTCTAGCACTGAGTTCCGTTCCGCATGGCCTTACATCGCTGGCCTATTAGCCCACAATGGGTAGCTTCATTTTCATCACCTTTATAACCAATATGGCATACTCTTAAATTAGGGCTAAAACCAGCTAGTATGACTAAGATAGTCTATTTATATTAGTTGATCAACTTCATGAATTCTAAAAAAAACCCTTTACTAAGTAACAGGATTTTGCTTTAATCTTTAATTTATGATTATCAGAGTGAGAACTCTGGATGCTGGAAGACTTCATTTAAAATGGAACGTGGTGGTGGTTAGCACAGAGACCAACAACAAACAAGAAAGGAATAGCAAGAAGGAATAAATAGAACTAAGAAGTTAACAAGATAACTTGCTGGTAAGTTATAACTTCCTGGTAACGTGTGAGAAGAAAGGACAGAACAAAACCCAGGAGATTTCTCAGGGCCAAATCACTCATGAGGGAAAGGGAGTAAACTGGGAACGGAATTCACAGGGATCTTAAAGGCAGACTATAAGAATACAAGCAAAAAAGCAAGAAAAGCATAAATGAATATGACTGGCTTGTGTTAGTGGGAAAAAGAAAATCAAAGGATAAATTTAAATTTTATATGAATATGGCAATGGTAAACACCTTGCTTATTCATTTCTAGTTGACTCTGAAAGTCATATTCTTATGACTACTTCATGATGAAGTCTTCATCAAGTAGACTTCATACAGATTTCTCCTTTAGGAGAAGAATATGAAGCATGAAAATTGTGTTCCTGGCTTGCTTTCTACATTCCTCATGTGTGAAAGGGAAGGAGCAAGGTCAAATGAAGGCACTATAGCTTCATAATCTCAGGAGATTCTGGAATGATACCAAATATCAAAAGATGCACAGAAATGATGAAATGTGTCCCTTATACGGAGAGGGAGAATAAGGCACAACTGTTATGAACAGGGCTCTATCTCACCAAATCATGGTGTCCTTTATTTTAGTCCAAGAGGCAGAAGCCCTAATTGAGTGCTACCAACATATTTTAAAGAGTGTTTACTAATAACCACATGCTTACTATCCAATCTTTCAATTTGACCATATTAAAGCCTCCCATTTTTTTGTGCAAGAGGTCGTGCGGAAAGAATCCCATTCGAATCCTCACACGTCTAAGAAAAAGTGCGGTAGAATATATGGAGGAGACAGAGGAAGGGAGCGAAGGAGGGAAAGAATGAAAGAAAAAGGTGAGAGAAAGAGAGAGAGAGAAGGGGAAGATGGAAAGAAACATGAAGATTTACATGGTACTTTTTTTTTTGTACTGAGAATTGAACTCAGGATCTTGCACTTGCCAGGCAGGCACATCACCAATGAGCTACATCCCCACCACCTGCATGGTACATTTTCATAGAGTACTCAGTGTTGATGTTTAAGAAAATTTGTTTATGATAACAATGAAATTTACAAATTAAAAGGCATAAATAAGGCTACCAGGCTGATGCTGAACAAGACAAACTGTTTTATAACTAAGCTGTAAACGAGACTCCTACTTGAGATATTAACAGGAATTGGATTTAGCCTCCCCAGGAAATAATTAAAATAAACAAACAAACAAAATGGATCATACAACAGTTTATAAACACTGGACATCGAGACATGAATGACTGTAATCTGTGAACAACATGAAACATGAGGTGAGATCTTTGATTGCTCCAGCCTCCTACCTGGAGAGAATTTCCAGGCTCTGGTGCATAAAGGCCAGGTGAAGCCCAGCGGTCTCGCTGAGTGAAGAGCTGCAGTGAAGAAATAGGAGAATGAGATCGAGGTGCCTAGGGTCTGCTGGACAGAATACCAGAAGGAGGAGCTACACAGAATTCCAAAGGCTCGGAGTGGATCTTCCTTCTTCAGCAGAACACTGACCGGTGCATGTGTGTCAGTATGCACAGTAGTCCCCCTGCCCAATTTGCAGGGGGACGTATTCCAAGATAGCCAGTGCTGCCTAAAACTGAGCATAGTACGAAACCCTACATGTAATATGTGCTTTTCCTTATTCCCTGCAGTGTTGCCACACAGAGCAAGGGTAAGCTGGCCCTTCATGTTTTATACCCTGGTGCCTCCCTGGCATCATTACTCCTGTTCTTTGGGGCCATGAATAAGTAAAATAAGAGTTACTTGAACACAAACACTAAGATACAATAATAGTTGACCTGAGTCCCTAAGGAGGCTACTAAGTGACCAATAGACAGATAGCTTATAAAGTATAAATGTAGACAAAGGGATGAGTCACAGCCTCAGCAGGATATTGGAGGGCAGATGTGATCATGCTACTCTGAATAGCACACCATACAAAGCTTAGAAATTGGTTATTTATGGTATTCTTCAATTAATATTTTCATTCCATGGGTTACTTAAACCATGGGAAGCAGAACCACAGATAAGAGAGGATGACTGTATCAATTTAGCATACTTGATATGTACAGGATATTCCACCTAACAAAAGCAGAATGTCTTCTTTTCCAGTGCACACAGAAAAGAGTTAATTATATTGGGGCCATAAAACAAATCTCAATAATTTAAAAAGGATTTAATTTTGCTGTTTGACCCTCAATGGAATTAAATTACTATAAATAATAATGGAAAGTCACAAAGTTTTCCAAATGTCTACAAATAGAATAGTACACTTCTCAACAGTCTTTGTGGGGTCTAAGGGTATAGCTCAGGGAACAGTTTTTTGTTTTTTGGTGTTTTTTGGTACTGAGGATCAAACTCAGGCCCTTGCGCTTGCGAGGCAGGTGGTGGAAGCACTGAGCCAAATCCCTGGCCCTAAAACTCGTTTTTTTTTCTTCTTCTTCTTCTTCTTCTTCTTTTGGTACTGGGGATCAAACTCAGGACCCTGTGCTTGCAAGGAAGGTGGTAGAACAACTGAGTTAAATCCCCAGCCCTCAAGGGTATAGCTCAGTACTGAAGCATCTGCCTTGTGTTCACAAGGACTTGGGTTTCAAGTCCTTGAAAATCAAAAGTAGAAAGTGTTTTTACAGTGGAGTATTACTCAGCTATAAAGAAGGATAAGCTTGAGACATTTACACCTAAATGGATACACCTAGAGGCCACACTCTTCAGTGAAAAAGTCAGACATGTGTAAATATCACTTTGTTTCTCTGGTGTGAGAAACTGAAAGTTAGTAATAAAGGACTAAAATGTATAATAGATAATGTGATATAGAAAAAGTTCCATTGAGATAGGGCACTAGGGAGGAGGAAAGGATAAAGGAAGAAAGGGAAAAGGAAAAAAACGAGAAAAGAAAGATAAAATAGAAACAAAGCTTTTGTAAATAAGGAGGAGAGAGGGTTGAAGAAACGTGAGGAAAAATGGGAAAAAATAAAGAGTTAAACTATATCATGTACAAGTACAAATTCCATAGAATGAATGTGATTATTATGTATACCTAAATTGTAGCAATAAACTTAATTTTTAAAAAGCAGAAAGTATATGGAATAAAATAAAAATGAAAATATACATAGAAAAAAATAGAAGGATACAGGTTCTACCGCCTGCCTTGCAAGAGCAAGGTCCTGAGATCGATCCCAGTACCAAAAAAAAAAAAAAAAGATACAGCTGCAGAAGTACTTTGAGGTTAAATTATAGCACTGAAAGGCCTACATTTAAAAAAAAACTGGTTTCAATACTGCCTTTCACTTTAGAAAACTCATAAAGAGCAAATAAAACTGTAATTAAGAAAAAGAAATAATGAAAAGTGAAAAATAATAAAACAGGAAACAATTTTCTAAAAGTTTTGGCTCAATCCCCAGTATTGAAAGAATCAATCATCATAATTTACATTAATTTTTAAAAACTTGTATATGATCATCTTAGCAGATTCAGAAAAAGCATTTTCAATAGAAAAAGAATAAAACAAAAAACTGACTCTTTTAGAAGTCAAATAAAACTGATAAACCTAGGTGGATTATCAGACATGGAAAAAAAACATAATTATATCAGGAATAAGAAAGATAATATCATAACATATTACAAAGATACTAAACGAATAATAAAGGAATACTTTGAATAAGTTTATTCTAGTACATTCCAGAGCTTAGATAAAAAGACAAGTTCTTTTGAAGATACAGGACCATAATTTTTGAATGAAAAAAAAAACTGGTATTCTTTCTCTAATAATAAAAATTAATTTTGCAGTTAAAAACCTTCAAACAACAATAACGACAAGAAGAAAATAGTACAGGTCTGTGGTGTAACTGGAGAACTCTACCAAAATTTAAGAAAGAAATAATAAATCTGCACAAATTTTTTCAGAAAATTAGAGGAAGGAATATCTTCCAATTCATATGATGAGACCAACAACACTTAAAATACCAAACCAGACCAAATACATAGAAGGAAAAACAAACTACAGATGCAAAATTCTTAGTGAATTTTATCAAATCAAATCCAACAAAATATAAAAGTATACTGCCTTATGACAATGTAGTTTATCCCAGGAATGCTATGTTGTGATGACATTTTTTTAAACTTTTTAAAAAGTTTTATTAGCAGCACATGCATTTTCCAGTCATCCTGAGAATGACTACATGTACACAGTACAGCTTGTCTCTTCTTAAAATCCCCTCACTTCCCCACTCAAGTCCTCTACCTCGATTTTCATTCTTCATCACACTAATCTCAGCTTGAGTTATGGCACATGTTTACATTATTTGAGATCATTAGGTTCCTGTACATGGCGTATCTTTGTTGTACTTATTTTCCCTTCCCTCTCCTTCCCTTCACCCTAAACTCAATCATTAGACGAACCTGGTGGCACACACCTGTAATCCCAGCCCTGTGGAAAGCTGAAACAGAAGGATTGCAATTTTGAGCCCAGCCCGGACAATTTAGCAAGTCTCTGTCTCAAAATTAAAAATAAAAATGCACTGGAGATGTTGCTCAGTCCAAATGTTGTAGTACTGAAAAAAAAAATCAATCATCATAATTTACCATACCAATTTTTAAAAAGTCATTGGTAATTTTATCAGATGCAGAAAAGGCATTTGCCAGAATTCAAGATCTATTTCTTGTTTAAAAATTTCTTAGCAAATTAGGAATAGAAGAAATTTTCCTCAACCTGATAAAGGGCAACTACAAAAGTCTAAATTCATATTATTCTTTCTTTTACTCCTTCTTTCTGTTATGGAGGATTGAAGCTATGATTTCACACATTACTCAGTAAGTGTTCTACCACCTTCCTACATCCCCAGCCTAACACTGTTCTATTATTCTCTCTCCCTCCCACCTTTCCTTCCTCCCTCCCTCTCTCTGATACAACATCAACAGCATGATCCATAGGAAAAAAAAAACTGTTAAATTGGACATTACAAAAATCAAAAGTTTTGATCTTTCAAAGAGAGTTAAGTGGCTTAAGACAAGCCACAGATTAGAAGAAAATATTTGCAAATCCTACATTTGACAAAGGACTTATATTCAGCACATTAAAACACTAAACACCCACCACAACTCAATATAAGCATGTACATCAATTCAAATGAGACAAGGATTTGAACATGCACTTCCCCAAAGAAGAAATATGACATCATTACAGAAATTCAAATCAAAATCACACTGAGACACTGTTACACAACTCCGGGGGAGGCTGAAGTTAAAAACACTGTGCATGCCAAGCAGGGGAAAGGTAGAAGCAACTGGAGCCGTAATAAACTACTAGTAGAATGGAAAGCAGTACAGTCATTTCGGAAAACAGTTTATTTCATTAAAAGGTAAAAAAACACTTATAATTGGTCTCAAACACTTCATGTGCAGTCTTCACCCCAATGTAATAAAACCATATAAAGGTTTTATAAGACTTTTCATAGCACATTTATTAGTAATAGCCAGAGATAGAAACCAAATACTGTATCTATCAATAAGTGAATGGATAAACAAATAGTGGTACAGCCATGCAATTTAATTAAATACTCCGCAATAAAAAGGAATGACACATTCGACAATATTGATGCATCTTGAAATAACTGTGCTATGGAAAAAAAAAAAAGTGCAGATAAGCCAGGCATGATGGTGCACAAGTGTAACCCAAGCAATCTGGGAGGCTGAGGCAGGAGAATCACAAATTTGAGCCCAGTCTGCACAACTCAGCAACTCAGTGCCATAGTCAGACTCTGCCTCAAAATAAAAAATAGAGGCGACAACAAGACCCAGGAAGGCCCCAAAGACCCCAGAGGGGGTTTCTTCAGCTGCCTGCCTGCCTGCCTGCCTGCAATCACCCGGCGGCGTGCGCACGGGCTCTCGGCCTGCGCGCGAGCTCCCGGCCTGCGCGACAACAGACCCAGGAAGGGA